CTTTAAGAGAAAGTTTGACCAACCAATATAGTAGCAACATGTGGTTAAACTGATGTTAGTTTAAATGTAACATTAAATATGCAGTTCCTTGGTTGCACTAAACCACATTTCAAATGCTCAGTAGCCACATGTGGCTAGTGACTATTGGAGACACAGATATAGAACATTTCCAACAATGCAGTAAGTTCTACTGGGCAGCACGGCCGTAGCCTAAATAACATAGGACTCCTCTGTGCTTTGAACACTAGTCATTCGTGTGCGACACCTCTCTTGTAGATGATTGGTTTGGTTACTGGTTTTTACATTTTTATTTCGAGTCAATTTTTGTAGTTTATATTTTCCTGGAAAATCATTCTTTTCATCAAGACTTTTCCATGGTATCTTCTGGGATCTCTATCCTACCTGTTCTCCTTAGGAGTGTTTGTTGTATGTTTCCCTTAATGCCTCAAGCTAACAACTTAGAAGTTCACTGAATTTTGTGTTTATCCCTTTCAGTTCTTCTTTGAAATCTGGTGTTCATTTTACACATGTAGCACTTCTCAATGTGGACTAGCCACATGCTAGTGTTCAATAGCCACGAGTGGCTTGTGGCTACTGCAGTGGGCAGTGTAGCCTAAGAGAGGATGAAGCTCAGTACAGATATTTCCAATCAACCTAATTGTTATTTTTTAATCCCCTATGTCCCACTATGTCCCATCCTATAGAAGTGTGATGTGTATGGCAATGTCTACTCTTGTTTCCGATAGACTCTGCTGTTTTTTTGTTCAGTTCACAATAGTTCTCCACTATTACCTTTTCACTGTAAAGTGTACCTGCTGGGAGTGGTCTTTCTAGTCATAAGACACAATATCCAAAAGATTTGGTTTAAATAAAAATACTAGCCGGGCTCGGTGGCTCAGCCTGTAATCCCGCGCCTTTGGGAGGCCGAGGTGAGTGGATTGCCTGAGCCCATGGGTTTGAAACCCGCCTGGGCAGCGAGACCTCATCTCTACAATAAATCAAAAAATCAGCTGGGCGTGGTAGCGCATGCCTGTAATTCCGGCTACTTGGAAGGCTGAGGCGGAAGGATCTCCGGAGCCCAGCAGGCGAGGCTGTGGTGGCCAGGAGCGGCCACTGCACTCTAGTCTGGGCGACAGAGTGAGACTCTAACTCAAAAAAAATAAAAATACTGACAGATTTTCTATAAAATGAAAAAAGATTTTGTGAAGAAAGGTACCAAGAACAAAGCAAGAAGGCACATAAGCCCTTGGTCAATGTCAGCTTTTTGCCAGGCACTGTCTTCAGTTCTTTATCTGTGTTGCTCATTTAATCTGCACCAGCCTGAGAGGTAGGTTCTTAAATTATTCCCATTTTACATATAGGACAACCCAGGTACAGAGAAGTTAAGTAACTTGCCCAAGGTCACACAGCTGGGAAGTAGCACAGCTAAGAAGGAAACCCAGGCCACTATACTCCATTGCCTCCTCTATGCTATGCTGCAGGGGAAAACACTGGAAAATATTAAATAGTCAATATCAGGAATATATTAAAAAGCTGCCATAAATCAAGAAGGTACATATAAACAACTCAATAGAAAAAAAAAGACAAAGGATAACAACAGGCAATTGTAGGCCAGGCACGATAGCTCACACCTGTAATCCCAATACTTTGGGAGGACAAGGCAGGAGGATCACTTGAGGCCAGGAGTTCAAGACCAGCCTGGGCAACATAGTGAGGCCTTGTCTCATCCCCAAAATAAAAACAAAACATAAAAGTAACAATAAAGAACAGGCAATCGATGGCTAAACAGCCAACAAGCATATGAAAAGATGCTCAAGTATGTAAGTCACCAAGGATGGGAGGGATAAAATGATACAACTTGTCATCCAACCAATGAGAGAGCAAATGAAGAAGCTTGAGGGGAGAGGGTTGAGGAAAACGGCCTCCTGCACTAATGATGGCCATGTGAGTGTATAGCTTTGTGAGTGGCAATTTGGTGGAATCCTTCACCACTCAAAATGCACTTCATTTTTGACTATCACTTCCACTTCCATGTATCTGTCCCACAGCTACAATGTCACACGAGCACAGAGATGTGTGCACATACAAGCTCTTCTGAGTGACCTCCATGTGACCAGCTTGATGAGTTCTTCTGCCCTCTCTGCTACCCCTTAAGCTGTGTGAGGACCTGCTGGGTGCTCAGGGCAGAAAGTCACCTGCATCCTCTCTCGCCACCTGGTGAGTGTGCATTTACTGTCACACATGTTCCTTCTTACACTTATTCATGCCAGTTATACCTGTGATGCAATAGTATTATTTAATGATTTAAAATGCATGTTCATTGCAAAGGAAGTTTTTTTTTTTTTTTAATAAAAACTGAGCTGAAAGCCCTGAAAAATCCAGTAAAGGCACACTGCTAAAACTCATAACAAAAACCAAACTGCTGCCGAATACGGCAAGGCTGAAATGAGTATAAAATACGGGGGAAAACATTGTAAAAACCTAGAAGGATTTTGCACTTAGAATCTTCATAAGTGTCTGAACTCCAAAATAAGATGATGTATTCCAGATGTGTTTTATCAAGAGTGATAATATTGATAAAGTTGGTCCTCCAATGAGAACCTGTGATCCGAGAAATGACCTGGATGCATTTGTGTTGCCTGCATTTTCTTAAACAATGAAAATGTGTAAGTGAATTACTCACTTAATCTAAAAACAAAAATAAAATGGTACCTCTACCCTTGTATAAGATGCCTTTCACAATACAAAGTGATTTTTTGGGTCAGGCTTGGTGGCTCAGTCTGTTATCCCAGCACTTTAGGAGGCTGAGGCAAATGAATTGCTTGAGCCCACGTGTTCCAGACCAACCCGAACAACTTGGCGAGACCTTGTCTCTACAGTAAATAAAAAAAAATTAGCTGGACATGGTAGGGCGTGCCTGTCGTTCCAGCTACTTGGAAGGCTAAGGCGGAAGAATCGCCAGAGCCCAGCAGATCGAGGCTGTGGTGAGCCATAATTGTGCCACTGCACTCCAGCCTGGGTGACAGAATGAGACTCCAACTCAAAAACAAAAAAAGCAAAACACCCCAAAGTGATTCTTTGTTCACTTAGGTAATTTTTCTTGCCCTGAATTCTGCTCTGTCTGGTACTATCATGGGTTTAGTTTTCTAATCAGCTGGAGAGTTTTTGTCTTTTAAGGGAAGAGCATAAGCAATTTACATTTATTGTTGTAACTGATATGTTTCCTGTGAACTCTATCACTTTATTTTTATGCTATTTGTTTTTTTGTGCTTCTTTACTATTTGCTCTTTATTTATCACATAGGCCCTTTCTCTGCTTCTAGCTTTCTGTTGTAAAAGGTTTATACCATGTTTTTCAGTTCATTAGAATTTATCTCTAAATTTTATATCAGAAGTTTCAATTTAAAGAAAACAAAATACAAAACTATTGATGCAGTCATTTACAAATCACTGCTCACAATTATAAGGGATGTCAAAGTTTAAACATTTCCTGATTCTACTGAGCTGCATACTCAGGTGAACCCTAGGCCCTTCAAAAAATCAAGAGTCATTAAGCCTTCCCTAATAGCAAATTCATCATTCACAGTCTTGGTCATTAACTGTGTATACAGTCTACTGTTTTGTCTCTCTTTTTTTTTTTTTGAGTTGGAGTCTCACTCTGTCATCCAGACTGGAGTACAGTGGCCGCTCCCGGCCACCGCAGCCTCGACCCGCTGGGCTCCGGCAATCCTTCTGCCTCAGCCTTCCAAGTAGCTGGAACTACAGGCGCACACTACCACGCCTGGCTAATTTTTTTGATTTATTGTAGAGATGAGGTCTCGTCTGCCCAGGCGGGTCTTGAACCCGCGGGTTCAGGCAATCCACTCACCTCAGCCTCCCAAAGGTGCGGGATTACAGGCTGAGCCACCAAGCCGGCTACCGTTTTGTCTCTTAAACAAACAAGAGTAAACGTTTCTGTAGAATCTAGTGCAGGTGTAATGGGGGTTAATGAAAGTCAGGACCTTGGGAACTACAACTGCAACTAGGAAGAATACAAGGTGGGCTGGAGCACATGGATGTGCTTGGGAGTGGAGGCATGAGGGAAGGCAAGAGCAAAAGGGAGTGGAAGAGGAGAGAGGTGGTGGAATTTGGGCTGACCAAGTACTCCGGAAAACCATCTCTCTTCATAGTTTTCTTCTGTATTTGTTTTTAAAATTCCACAATTAACACACACTTGCATGCTCACAATTTCTCTCAACCATTCACCATTCTCTCTCTTTACTGTTGATCATACTTTTGTCTCTCTATACCACAGATTTTTCCTCAACACCCAAATAATCTCTGTCCAGCTAAAACGAACACTTAGATTTCATTGCTATTCATTTGTTACTGCTAATTTTTAATGAGCTATTTCTCCCTGCTATCAACAAATCATCAGACAGCTCAATGATTGTGCCTCAGCCTAACTGATGGTCAGTGAAATCCACCTGGACCATCAGATGAGGGGGTGAGAGACACCGGTCCCAGATTTCTGCACTATTTAAGGAGGGGGTAGGCGAGCTGAGGGATTGTTTCCAGATCCCTCACCCATCCAAAGTTCAAACAGCTCCAAAACAAAGTTATAGGACAAGACTGTGAGTGCAAAGAAATACAACAGGTTCCTGCCAGCCACAGATAACGAGATACTTCATAGTCATAATGAGTTCAGCATCACCTAGTGCTTTAGTGTTCACACATGTGATGGAAATACCCAACAAATAATAATGGAGGGTGTAAAAATGCCATCTTACTAGCTAGCGAGACAGCAACGCTTCTAACACTCAATATTGGGGTTGAACTGTCCTACAAAGTAACAGTATTTTTTGTTGCCTGTAAGATACTGGTTTTTTTTCTGCATGTTCTAAATGGATAAGCCGTACTGGTAATTACTCTGTTGAACCAGCCAGGGGACCTCAGACCCCAGTGTTTAAGGCCAACATCTGTATGTCCTGCCAGAAGTCCCCACCCCTTGGCCCCTGTTACCTCCTGCAGTTTGACCTCCTCGGGCTGGAGGATCTCAAGCACCCCACTGCTCCGGATCTCTGGAAGATCCTGCCAGAGGTTAAACCTCGAGTGGGGGTTGCTGAATAGGCAGATCTGAGGCAGGGCCTTCCTCTCAGGCGGGCTTGCCAGCTCCTCCTCTTCTTCCTCCTCCTCCTCCTCCTCCTCTGGGGTGTCCTCGATGGCTGGGGACCCATTGTCATTGCCTTGTATTTCTGCATCCTGTTGCCTCCTGGTTTCGATTTCTTGGAGAGTCGATTTGTCTCGGTATTCCTGATACAGGAGCCCTGAAATCAAACAGGGTTGTAATAAAGAAAAGGATTTCAGATGATGATCATTAAGTCAAGGTTTATTATTATTAATGTTGTTATTATTTGAGTCAGGGTCTCATTCTGTCATCCAGGCTGGAATGCAGTGGCACTATCACGGCTCGCCACTGCCTCAACCTCCTGGGCTCAGGTGGTCTTTCTGTCTCAGCCTCCCAAGTAGCTAGGACCATAGGTGTGCCACCACACCTGGCTAGTTTATTTATTGAAGAGACAAGTTCACTCTAAAAATCTGGCCACGTTGGCCTTGAACTCCTGGGCTCAAGCAATCCTCTGGCCTCAGCCTCGCAAGTGCTGGGACTCTAGGCATGAGCCACCGTGCCTGACCAAGTCTTCATATTCTTCCAAGTGACTGCTCTGTCTACGAACACATAGCAAAAATCAGCCCTGCACACATCTCAGTGACAGGCTCCTGGGTCACAGGATAAATTGCTGTTGTCTTTATTCCTTGGGAAAGATCAGCGTGCATTCAGTTTTTTCCAACAAGAAAGCCTCAGACAAATTCAAAATTCAGTCACACAAATACATGCTTTCTCCACACATATTTGGCAAACAACAAGAACCTAGGATTTGCTGTGTTCATCCACGAGCTGATGGGAATGTCCCAATTATGCTTCAATATCCCAACAGGATACTTTACACAGCTTTAAATGCTTCCATATTAAAACTCAAGTATATTCATTTGTAAAATGGGAGTAGCTGTAAATTCTCATTTTGCAGAAAAAAACCCAGTATTTTATCAATCTTATGATTTAAAAGGAAAATATTTCTTTCTTTTCCTTTCACAGTTTCAGACTTACTCCCCCCTGACCAACTATACTTTAAATAAATTCATTGTAGTCTCAAAGGAGGTTTGGGGATGCAGCTGCATCAGCACAAGTGCAGCACCTCCACAGGAAAAAACTCATTTCTGATGTCCTGGCTCAGGACGCAGGACTTTCTCTCCACACAGGGGAGGGTTGCTATGGTGGGGATGGGAAAGGTGTGATCCTGCCTGCCGTAAGCCTGGAGGGAAAGGGGTCAGAGCCCCAGGATCTCATCTGCCCTGCCACAGCAGCAGGAGTCTACCCTGAAGACAGAGGGGAGGCCCCCAAGAGACCTCAAAGCAGCCAGCTGTGGTCTACATTTTTGAGCTGTGGATTGGAAGAAGAGAGCTGCAATTCCCCAGGAGAGCAATGAAGGAGGCTCACGCTGGAGGGGTGGTAGGGGGGAAGGAGCCAAGGGCCATATTCAGGGGACAGTCACTAGGTAGAGGACAGACCCTGGGTCATGAATAATATCCAGGTGACCAGCTCAGTAACAGACACCGGTGGCACCACTCAAGGAGAGGAGACGAGGGTCTGGCTGGAGTGGGGTAGTGGAAAGAGCTGTGCCCAGACACCCAGGCGGAGAAGCCCGGTGGTCAGAGGGACGTGCTGGTCTGGTGCTCGGTGTGGGGAGTGGCCGAGTCCCCTCGAAATGTCTGTCTATGAAGCAAAGATGATTCCCCAGAAAGTTCCAACATAGATAAACACTTACTCTTACACCACTTGATAAGTGTTGTTTATAAGCTACTTGATAAGCACTTGCTCTTACAACACTGTACAAATGTTAGCTACTTTTATGCCTTCTTTGTCTTATTGTAAATATATCTAAATGTAGAAAAGGGAAAAAGAGAAAAACAGACTGCCTTTGAAATCCCGAATGTGGCTGGATAAATTATATTAATAATAAGTCTGCCCGGTGGATTAAATTATTTGGCTTCCAATGCTCCATAACTCTAAATTACAAAGCCTTTATGCTAAGGTAAGTATAGCAATTGCTTCAAAAAGTCAAGGTCCTGTGTATTTCCAGTGATGCAATCCAGCTGAATATAATATGGAGTTAATTTAACAAAGGAATAAAAGAGAAAACCAAACTCTACGCTAAAATGCAACCCAGATTGAAGCTCTCTAAAGATGGTTCTAACATCACCACCTAAACCGGTTCAATTACAAGCATAAGATAAAACAACTGTTGCCGACATCAAGCTCATTACCATCCTGTGATTCTGACACTGTGTTTACAGAGATTTAAAGAAATCAGGTTTCCACGGGTTGACTTGGATTCACTTTTCAACGCGTAGCACACTGTCTCTCACATAGCCGGTACTCAAAGATTTGGTGAACACCTTATAAAAACGCAGTTTCCAAGTGTCACAAACGTGTCTAATTTGGCATAGTTTTGAAGGCTCAAAAATATGTCTTACATATGCTGTAGTCGGCAAATCACGGGTAAATACTACCTTGAACGCCTCAGTGTGATACACATGCTAGAAAGAGACAAAAATATCAGCGCTGGGGGTAATTGGGTTGAAAATAATATTTCTGAAACCACACTTTGGCAGATGCCGCCAGCTGCCTCTCTGCCATCCCCTCATGCCCCTTCTTCCCAGGTGGCAGAAGAGGGGTTTTGTTTGGGTGCTGACCTGTCCTGGGCTCAGGGAAGTAAGTGAAGTCTAGTCAAAACCTACCATGCCCAGCAGGCGAGGCTGCAGTGGCCGGGAGCGGCCACTGCACTCCAGTCTGGGCGAACGAGTGAGACTTCAACTCAAAAAAAACCAACAAAAACCTACCATGATAGTTCCTTTCCTCTTGTCAGAGGTAGGTTTTGATGGGCATGTGGCACAATGTTGCTGCTGTGGTCTGAATGTGCATGTCCCCTTAGATTCATATGCTGGAACCTAACACCCATCATGGTAATATTCAGAGGTGGAGTATGCTGGAAAGTGATTAAGCCATGAAGGCTCTGTCTTCATGAATGGGTTTAGTGTCCTCATGAAAGAGACTGAAGGGAGTTGATGTGTCCCTTCCACCATGTGAGGACACACCAAGAAGGCACCAGCTTTGAAGCAGAGTGAGCCAGCCCTCACCATATACTGAATCTGCTGGTGCCTTCATCTTGAACTTCTCAGCCTCCAGAACTGTGAACAAGAAGTTCCTGTTGTTTATACTTTACTTAATCTCAAGTATTTTGTTATAGCAGCAGACACAGGTTAAGACACCAACCCCAAAGAGTAAGGGGGGATCTACTAAGGGCTTCTCAAAAAGATGTCCTTCCGCAACAGGTATTTGAAGACCAACTGCCCTTCCTGCTTTTTAAACAAATGACTGCTTGAGGATGTGATGTCTGGAGCTATGGCAGCCGTCTTATAACACAAGGCCTACCCGGAGGAGGCAAAGCAGCTGGGTGATTGTTTGGCTGAATGAACCAACTCTGGAACTACGCCTCTCTGGACTCGTCAACTGAGATGGAATACCTCCATTGCTGAAGACTACTTTTTGCTAGATCTTCTATTACTTGCAGCCAAAGACACTCAAGTAATTTTAGCACTTTAAAAAGTCATACTTTTTTCTGAGGTATTAGAACATGAATTTAGACACCAATTTTCCTGTAATACTGTGATTTCAAAGAGTTATCTGACATACTATGTAACCACTTCTCACAATCTTTCGTTTTTCTTTGCCTTAAATTCTGTTTATGATACAAATAGGGTTGCTTTACCTGAGGAACTGTGTTATCTGATTAAATGTCTGTACTCAATGTACTATTAATATATCATGATTTCCTGTTTTATATTTAGTACACTCAGTACAGCTTTATATGGAAATTAACTTTACCTGTAAAAGCTTGCACTTGGTATTACATCCCAGGGGAACAGGAAGGCTCAGTTCCCATCTCTCCCAATTAAATGGTCTCTTCCAGGCTGGTCGTGCTGCCCAGAAAGAGGATAAGCCCCCAGATCCTCTTGCCAAAGACCCCTGAGTCTTTCAAAATTTCTCTTTATGAAGAAATTTTTTTCTTTAGTCCTTCAAAGACAAACTTCCAAAAGGCAAGGAATTCATGCATTATTTAGTGAGCACCTTCTATGTGCCAAGCATTGTGTTAGATGCTAGACACCACAGCACACACCAACATACACTCACACAGATACATACAAAGTCAGTCACAGGATCTCAGAGTCCATGATCTATCAGGGCCACAGTCAACTGTGATGACAGCCATGTCCTGTATCATGCACAGTCCTGACATATTTCTGTATGGCCTTGGAGGGAACCACTGAAAAATCCAACGCAGGGGTCTACAAAATGCCCTCAGATTCATTCTACTTCCCCCTTAATCTGTGTCTTTAGGAACCTGCTGGCCTTTCCTGATACCTGGAAAAGAATTGCTGGACTCACAGAGCTGAAAGCAGTGAGGCTTCTGTAGGAATCTGCTCAGCCCAGTCTTTGAGCCTATGACAAGGGATCTGAGATGATGGTAGGGACATCCTGTGCTGTCACTCAACCTACCTGCTGAGCATCTACTGGGGGTCAAGCCCAGGAGCCAGAAAAAGACACTCGCCACGATGCCAGTAGATACTGGCAGGTGGCAGCGGGAGGAAAGCCTCTGAACGTCAGTCTCTACTGCTTACCAGAAGAAGAGCCTGAGGCCCCAAGTGAGCAGGGTCCTGACTGCCAGCTTTGAGCTTATGCCAATGGCCCAGCTGGTCTAGCTGTCTCTGAGAAAGATATCCCCACACACCCATAATGCAGACGGGAGCCTCTTTCTGAGAGGAGGTATGACCTCCTCCCCAACCTGATGTCCTTCCTCATCGTGACACTGGTCTTGGTTAAGGAGGAGCCCTTCCAAGAGTGTGGAAGTCAAAGTTCCCAGCATGTGCTAAGGCAGATGTGACTTTCCGCACTATGAAGGGCAACGTGGCAGAGAGCTGGAGGGAAAGGGTTTTCAGCAGACTTTCTTTTATTTATTTATTTGTTTGTTTTGAGTTGGAGTCTCACTCTGTCGCCCAGACTGGAGTGCAGTGGCTGCTCCCGGCCACCGCAGCCTCGACCTGCTGGGCTCCGGCGATCCTTCCGTCTCAGCCTTCCAAGTGGCTGGAACTACAGGCGCATGCTACCACGCCTGGCTAATTATTATTATTTTTTTATTTATTGTAGAGATGAGGTCTCACCAAGTTGCCCAGGTGGGTCTCGAACCCGCAGGCTCAGGCAATCCACTCACCTCAGCCACCCAAGGTGCGGGATTACAGGCTGAGCCACCGAGCCCGGCTCAGATTTTGTTTTAAAACAAGGATTTCCTAACAGCCATCAGTTTCCAATCAGCCCCTCTCCACTCCCCCGGCAGACACCCAGCCTAACACACTGGGGGGCCCACTGGGAACAGCATTCCTAGAATCAGAGTGTGTGAAACAGCCCCTCAGCCCTGCAAGGGCTCAGCTCCTCTTAGGGTTCCATTTAGAAAGGTCCCTGCAGGGAAGAGTGGGCTGGCCCCGGAGGTCTCCAGAGCACCGCGTCTCTCTTGGCACAGGAAGCTCCAATTCCCCCGGGGAGACACTTCCTGTCTGTTCAACGGCTTGGGATTGGAGGACAATAATTATATATGAAGGAAAGAAATTTTCCAAACCTAGAATTTTTATTTAACGAACAAACTGCTGCTCTGACAACGGTAAAGAATAAAAAGATTTTCTAGGCAGCCGGTACCATTTTCAGAGTAAGGGAGCCCATATTATCTATTCCCTGATGCGTCTGGTGACAACATGAGAACCAGCTTGATGTCACTAGTGATTTTTTCTTTTCTTATCTCTCTGTCTCTTTCTCTTTTCCTTCCCTTCTTCTTCTTCTTTTTTTTTTTTTTTTGAGTCAGAATCTCACGCTGGAGTGCAGTAGCACAATCAGAGCTCACTGCAGCCTTGACCTCCTGGGCTCAGGCACTCCTTCTGTCTCAGTCTCCCAAGTAGATGGGAATACAGGTGTGTGCCACCACACCTAGCTAATTTTTTATTTTTTGTAGAGAAAAGGTCTTGCTATAGGCTGGTCTCAAATTCCTAGGCTCAAGCAATCCTCTGGCCTCAGCCTCTCAAAGTGCTGGAATTACAAGTGTGAGCCACCACACCCAGTACTAGAACTTTTTTTTTTTTAAATGCAAGTGCTGGAGTTTTGGGAGGGTGTCTCAGTCTACTTTCTGTATTCATAGTGCTTCAGCCACAGCTGTAGAAGCTGGACACACATAGGATGAGCCTTGGTTTCCTCTGCTGATCATATTCCTGGAGAGGCTTCCCTCCTTAATCCAGGGGTTTCTGGGGCTCCTACTCTCTCTCTCCTTTACCTTTCCTTCACCTGTGCAACGTTGGCCACCACCTACTCTTCCTAAATTGTACCATGCCACCTGGCCCTGCCAAGAGCCCCCCCTTTAACCAGGACTCTCACCAGCCCAACTCTGTGCTCCCAGCAGCCAGTTTATTCCAGGTCTTCCCCGGGCCCCTCCCTTGTGGGGCTAACGGAGTTCTCCCCCTGCACACCCCAGCAGGGCGGCTTCACCCCTTCTTGCTGGCGGAAGTGACCAGGGGACAGAGAGCCCTTGCCCAGAAAAGGGCTGGCAAGTAGACCTCTGCGCAGAGAGCAGGACAGAAATCTGTCTGCGGAAACCCAATTGCACAGCACTGTTAAAATGTGGCGGGGCGGCCTGTGGAATCACGCAGAACCAGACAAGCCCAGAGCGTCCCTAAACACGGCAGACGCATTCCTTCACAGGAAACACAACCGCATCCCGTGAACAGCGACCCCCGAGGCCTCCAGGAGCCCACGTTTCCTGGGTGAAGCCCCGCGGCCGCCGGGGTCACCCACCTATCTGTTCAATGAGGTTTCTCCAGGAGTCGGCAGGAATCGGGTGGATCATCTGCAGGGCCTCGGTGAGCGTGGTGGGGCTGTCGGCGAGCGCCGGGCACTCCTCGGGCGTGGCCCCGTTTCCCAGGGTGGAGGACGACTCGCTGCCAGAGAGGGAGGAGGACAAGGGGCTGGTTATTTTAAGCAACGACACACCTTGGCGGGTTCGCGAGGGGCGTCCGCGCAAGCGGCTGCCGGCCAGCGG